CAGCGCCTCGGCCGCAGCCCGCCGAGCTTTTCCCCCCGCTTCTCTCTCGCTTTCGTTTTTTCCCCTCGCTGTGGGGTATTTGGGTGCGTGCGGCCTGAAGTCCGCTAGCACGGTGTGACGCCCCCTCCCGTATCCCCATCTCGTACGCAGCAAAGGACGAGTAGCGGCTAGGTCTGAGCCCAGCAAGACGCGCCCGGCGCGTCTGTTTCTTCCAAACTTAGTACAGCTCAAATTGCGGGAGTTACTTACGTAAGCAGTGGTGTTCTGTCCCTGCTGCCGGTTGTTCGTTATCCTGATGTTAGCCTCGTTAGTCGTCCTGTGGGTTTGTCTAATCTTTCTGGCTCTGTGAGCTATTTGCTGAAGTGTTTACGTGGCCAAGAACCACAAAGTGTGCCGCATGCCCCCAAACGCAAAGGAAAGAAGCTGTTCTGGCAGCGCTTTGGTGTTCTCTGGCCGCATTGCATAATGGTGCAGCTGAGTGTGAAGCTGTCCCATAACCTCTGCTTCAGCTTTTCTAGATTTCCTTTTCAGCCCTGCCAACGACGTGGTGATGTGGGCCAGTATCGGGCACTCTGTCAGAACCATGAACTGCTTGAGGACTGCTTCAAGTCAGAGGCTAACAACCTCTCCCGTGCAGCGGGAGAGGGCAGTGTGGGTCCAGCAGGACAGAATTCTGTTAGTGTTTTCAGGTTTCTTCCTCAAGTGTAAGGGGAATATCCGAATTTACCCTGCACAAGAGCCAGTACAACAGATGAGTTTATCTTGGGAGCAGACATGAGCTTGCCTGTGCTCAAGAGCTGAGTTTGTGGTACCAGAACCATTTTTTTTTTTTTTTCAGCGAAGAGCGGGGCATCTGCTGATGGGGAGAGCTAGGGAGCTTGCTGTTAGCCCACATAAAGACCCTTTCACAGCAGGAGGGCACTGGGAGTATATCTGACACCCTGCCGCTGATTCTGAAGTTAACAGCTCGTTCTTGAAACCTTTTGCTGTGATAAAAATAGGCATCTGTCCTTTACGCTTGCAAATCTGTTCCTCCCCCGTGCTAGTCTGGGAAAGCTGTTTTGAAAGTAAACTAAAAGTCCTAGTGCACCTGGTACTAGCTGGCTGCACTGACTGTCCTCCTGTCTCCACAGATGTACTGTGCTAAATTTTCTATGTTCCGGTGAGGAATTCACAAAATTGAATGTTGTTCATTCATCAGCAGTGAGTGTTGTGCGTGCTGTGATCGTTCTTCAGATGTATACCCAGAATAATAAATTACTTCCTCCTCTT